CACGAGAGAAGAGATAAGGATGAAGACTTTGACCTGAGTAACTAGAAGGATGGAACTATGATTAACTAATAGGGGAAAGAGTGCAGGTGAAGTTGGTTTTGTTTGTTGCGTCTATTAGATGACCAAGTAGAGATGTGGAGCAGTGACAGAGGAAGTTGCCAGCAAGGAGGTAACACGTAAAGCCACGAGAAGAAGTCCAGACACTGGGCCCTACAAGCAGCAAAGTAGATGGAAGAGGACCAAACATGGAGATAGGAGAAAGTCCATAGTGCAGATCTCAGAAGTGAAGACAGGAGTTTCCCAGAGGAGGGGGCCATCAACTCCATCAGAAGCTGCAGAGACTTCCAGAAGATGGGAAATGAGAACTATTGGAGTTAGCATTGTGAAGGTCACTGGGGACCCTGACAATAGCAGTTCTGATGAAGTACTGTGATACAAAAGCGTGGAGTGGGTTAAGAGGGAATGGGGAGAGAAATTAGAAAAATCGAGGGCAGACATTCTTTTGAGTTTTGCTGTGATGGGGAACAGGAGATGGGTGGCAACTGCAGGGGATATTGAAATAAAGAGAAAATTTCTTTTTTCTACAAGAAACTTCAGCATTGAACCAGTAGAGAGGGAAAAATTGATGATCTAAAGTAAAGAGGGGCTGGGTGCGGTGGCTCACGCCTGTAATCCCAGCACTTTGGGTGGCTGAGGTAGACAGATGACTTGAGGTCAAGAGTTTGAGTCCAGCCTGGCCAACATGGCAGCCACTGCATTCCAGCCTGGGTGACAGAGCAAGACTCTGTCTCAAAAATAAATATATACATACATAAAATAAAAAGAGAAAAAATCACTGGCACAGTCATGTTGAGCAGGCAAAAGAGGATGGAATCTCGTGTTGGGGGTTGGCCTTAATTAGGCAATTGAGGCAGGAACTCTAGAAACTGCAGGGAAAGCTGATTCTACACAGGAAGGTGGGGAGAGGTGGTTTTGGGAGTCTGAGGAAAGCTGGTTGCTTCCATTTTCTCAGTGAAGTGGGAGGTAAAGTTAGCCGAGAGAGACAGGATAAAGGAAGAGGTGTGAGAGGTTTGAAGAGAAAGAAGATGTGAAATAGTCTTCCAGGAGAGTGGGAGAGGAGGTGGAGCCAGGAGCTGCATGTAGTTAATATGAAGGAAGCACCAGTCTTCATAGATCATATCACCAGAGCAGCCAAACAAGGGCTCTCAGAAGTATTTTTTTCCAGAGTGAGAAGTTCAGCTGAGCCACTTACAGCCTATTTTAGTTTCCCATGTGACAATGTACTGTGTGGCTACTAAAAGCTTTTCTCTCTTTGCAAACCTAATTAGCCCGAGCCCAGACCCTTGGCCCTGTTCTTTTCTTTAGAGACAGGGTCTTGCTGTGTTACCCAGGGTGGAGTGCAATGGCGCAATCACAGCTCACTGCAGCTTCAACCTCCTGGGCTCAAGCAATCCTCCTGACTCAGCCTCCCAAAGTGCTGGGATTACAGATATGAGCCACAGGGCCTGGCTGACTTTTTCGACCTGTCTTATCTCTCTCTCTCTCTCTCTTTTTTTTTTTTTTTTTGAGAGGGAGTTTCGCTCTCGTTGCCCAGGCAGAAGTGCAATGGCGCAATCTCAGCTCACTGAAACGTCCACCTCCGGGGTTCAAGCAATTTTCCTGCCTCAGCCTCCCAAGGAGCAGGGATTACGGGAATGCACCACCATGCCTGGCTAATTTTATATTTTTACTAGAAACAGGGTTTCTCCATGTTGGTCAGGGTGGTCTCAAACTCCCAAGCTCAGGCGATCTACCCTCCTCCCAAAGTGCTGGGATTACAAGCTGGCCCAGACTGTCTTATCTCATCACCTGGATTACTTACTGCAAGAACCTCCTACCAAAGCTCCCTGCCTCTCACCTTGACCCATCCTATACAATGCACCAGACTGTGAGCACAAGTCTAATCATGACAGTCACCTGCTCAGAACCCAACAGGGGCTCTTGATGGCCTGTGGAATAAAATTCAAACTCACTTCGGCAAATCCATGGGTTTCTACATCTGGCTTCTGCCCATTTCTCTATCTTTGTCTTTCCACAATTCACTCTCCTGAGCTCCAGATACACTAAACAATTTCCCAATCCCAACCAGGCCCGCTCAAGCATTTGTACCTTCTGTCCAAAAGACCCTCGCCCTTTCCTGCCTATGAACCCTCTGCTAAGATTAAAGGCAAGCACTGTGTAGTCCAGGAAGCCTCCATTCCTAGCTGTTCTTCCTCTCCTTCAAAGTTATGTGACTGTCTTCCGTGTGGACAGTCTAAAGACTGAGTGCTGGCCGGGTGTGGTGGCTCATGCCTGTAATTCCAGCACCCTGGGAGGCTGAGGCAGGCAGATCACCTGAGGTCAGGAGTTCTAGACCAGCCTGATCAACATAGAGAAACCCATCTCTACTAAAAATACAAAATACAAGATTAGCTGGGCATGGTGGTGCATGCCTATAATCCCAGCTACTCAGGAGACTGAGGCAGGAGAATCGCCTGAACCCAGGAGGCAGAGGTTGCAGTGCACTGAGATCACGCCACTGCACTCCAGCCTGGGCAACAAGAGTGAAACTCTCTCAAAAAAGACTGAACACCTACTGTGCTACTGTGGCCATGGAACTACCAGAGTCACCACCATCACAGTGCAGTGACTAAGAGCATGGGCCTTGGAACTGGTCAGCCTAGGATGCCTATTGGCTTTGCCACTTAATGACCAGATAACCTTGAACAAATTACTTAAATTTCCTATGCTTCAGTATCCTCCTCTGTAAAATGCGGTTAATAATAAAAGTATCTACTGGAAAGGGCTGTCTCTAGAATTATACACGATAAAGTGCGAGCAGAAGGCCTGGCATAAATTAAGTCCTCAACAATCTTTCCTTAGTCTAAGTCTCTCCTGCCTCCCATTTCCTTGTCTGCCGGTCTCAAACAATCAGTATCTTAGCTCAACAGGTACTGCTTTTAAAGGGAGCCCAATTGTGCCATGGTGGGCTTCCTATCATCTTTAATCTTAAGCTTTTACAATGACATAGTGCCTATGAGGAAACAGGGAAAGGGGGCTGAGGGAGGACCAGGCAGTCAGGCACCATTCAAGTCTCAAGACATGGGTTCATTCGCTGCTTGCCAGGTGATAAGAATGATGCCCTAAGGTCTCCAGATGCAGGCTGGAATCATGGCTTATGATGTGCAAGATGAAATGATCAGGCAGAAATAGAGAAATGAAAATTTACTTCTGGGCTGGGCGTGGTAGCTCACTCCTGTAATCCCAGCACTTTGGGAGACCGAGGAGGACAGATCACCTGAGGTCAGGAGTTCGAGACCAGCCTGACCAACATGGAGAAAACCCATCTCTGCTAAAAATACAAAATTAGCTGGGCATGGTAGTGCATTTCTATAATCCCAGCTACTCGGGAGGCTGAGGCAGGAGAATCACTTGAACTCAGGAGGCGAGCTGTGAGCCTAGATCTCACCACTGCATTCCAGCCTGGGCAACAAGAGTGAAACTCTGTCGCAAAAAAAAAAAAAAAATGCAGACTCAATACAGGCTAAGTTTGTTGTGCACTTGTGAGAAATCTGTCCCTCTGCATTGATTGATTTAAAAGAAAAAAAAAAAAGAGAAATTTGAATTTACTCAGGTCATCCAACTAAAAGGCTAGTGTCCGGAGCACATAGGTGGCTAGGTGTGATGGCTCACACCTGTAATCCCAACACTTTGGGAGGTGAAGGCAGGTAGATCGCCTGAGGTCAGGAGTTTGAGACCAGCCTGGCCAACATGGCAAAACCCCATCTCTATTAAAAATATAAAAAAGTAGCTGGGCGTGGTGGCACATGCCTGTAGTCCCAGCGACTTAGGAGGCTGTGGCAGGAGAACTGCCAGAGTATTGCTTGAACCCAGGAGGTTGAGGTTGCAGTAAGCTGAGATCACACCACTGCACTCCAGCCTGAATGACAGAGTGAGACTCTGTCTCAAAAACAAAACAAAAAAACAGAGCACAGAGGTGACTGTCTAGCTGTCCCAAGCACTGGTCAGACCACACCTAACACATTATAGTCAAGTCACGGCACCACAGTTTATCTATTTATTTTATTTTTTGGAGACAGGGTATCATTCTGTTGCCCAGGCATGAGTGCAATAGCATGATCTTGGCTCACTGCAGTCTTGACCTCCTGGGCTCAAGTGATCCTTCCACCTCAGTCTCTCAAGTAGCTGGGACTATAGGCACATGCCCCTATACCTGGCTAATTTTATTTTATTTTTTTTTTGTGGAGATGGGGCCTCACTGTGTTGCCCAGGCTGGTCTCAAACCCCTGGCCTCAAGTGATACTCCTGTCTTAGCCTCCCAAAGTCACTGGGATTCCAGATGTGAGCTACCACGCCCGGCCAGGGCACCACACTTTAGAAGGGGCACCAAAAAACAGTGACTCAAAAGGAATGGATAACAAAAAGCAACATGGGGAACTGAATGGGGACAGGTGGAGGTACCACAAACATTTAGCTTAATAAACAGAAAACTCAGAGAGGACCAGCATAGTTTACTTCAAATATCTAGGGAACTGCCAAGTGCTGTCTGAGGCTTCTCTGGGTAGCTCTTGAGAAGTTAACCTGGGAAAATAGAGGGGGGTTACAAAGTAGGAGATCTTGCTCTTTTTTTTTTTTTTTTTTTTTGGGACGGAGTTTCGCTCTCCTTACCCAGACTGGAGTGCAATGGCGCGATCTCGGCTCACCGCAACCTCCACCTCCTGGGTTCAGGCAATTCTCCTGCCTCAGCTTCCTGCGTAGGTGGGATTACAGGCACGCGCCACCATGCCCAGCTAATGTTTTTGTATTTTTAGTAGAGACGGGGTTTCACCATGTTGACCAGGATGGTCTCGATCTGTTGACCTCGTGATCCACCCGCCTCGGCCTCCCAAAGTGCTGGGATTACAGGCTTGAGCCACCGCGCCCGGCCGGAGATCTTGCTCTTAATTAGAGTTAAGTCAAACCTTTGAAATTCAGGCAAGCCCAGCTCCTTTCTCATGGAAACTGCCCTGCACACAGCACCTGCTGAGGGATCAGAAAGGGACATCTGATGCAGAGGGCTCAGGGCCCAGCTGGGCCAGGGCTACAATGTTCTGGTGGGCAAAGAGGAGCTGATACAATCAAATTGCCTCTCTTGGGAATCTGTTCTACGAAATCAAAAAAATATGGCAGTGAGCAGTGGGAGCTGAAGATGAAAGGATGCCACAAACCTAGAGGCAACGGACTCTGAGTGGTTCAAGCCGAGTGAAGTTATGAGGAAGCAGAAACTGAATAAACAGCTGCTATCAGTGAGAGAAAAACCATAGACCAGAAAGAAAAAAAAAATGTATAATGGAACAAAGAAAATGAGATAATCATGAGAAGAAGACACAGAGAGACTGAAGCCATGAGACAGTCCTGCAAGCCCCCCTGATTTCTGTAACCGCGTTTCCCACCCAGTCCAAGTGCACACTCATAAACAAACTCCCCTTTTTTTTTCTCAAGTTTGTGAAACTTTAGTCATTGTAACCAATAAAGCTTAATAAGAGGATGTCTCCTCTGGGTGGAAGCTGGATCAGGGACCTCTGGAGGCCTTGCCCTTTAGCTGCTCTGTGACTGATGACATTAGTCATAGTCCTTCATGCTTTGTTTATTTAAAACACTTCCATAAATTTAGCCCGTTATCCTCATAAACTCCCCTAAAACGCAGATAAGGCGGGTAATGAGTTTGGGTAAGGAGAGAGGTGGTGGAGTAGAGGGAGGTGAATACTCCTTTTACAGTCAGGAAACCAAGGTTCAGAGAGGTTAAAGGACTAGGCCAAGGTCATTCTGCAAGTAAGAAAGTTAGGGTCTACCAACTTTCAGTTTAGTGTTTCTTCTTATTTATTTGTTTAATTATGTATTTATTTGGAGACAGGGTCTTGCTCTGTTGCTCAGGCTGGAGTTCAGTGGTACAATCACGGCTCACTGCAGCCTCGACCTCCTGGGCTTAACCAATCCTCCCACTGCAGCCACCACATCTGGTTAATTTTTTATTTTTTTTTGGTAGAGATGGAGTCTTATGTTGCTCAGGCTGGTCTTGAACTCCTGGCCTCAAGCCATCCTCCCACCTCAACCCCCGCAAAGTGCTGGGATTACAGGCATGAGCCACTGTGCCCAGCCTTGTTTTTCCCCATAATTCTATGTAAGTCTCTCCTTCACTCAGATTTTCCATTTGCCATAAATCTCCTTCCCAGATCCCAGACATATCAGAGATTTCACTGTGCTGCAGGGAAATCTAAGGGACCCCACAGCTGCCCCAAGAACTCCAGTTTTCTCCTTACCAAGGTGTTTCTGCAGGAAGGCCAACATGGCCCGCACCATAACCTCCTGCCCTTCATAGGGGTCCAGACTCCCACGGTTTTGAGTGGAGAAGAATCTACCAATCAAGTTGCCAGTTACAAAAGCAAAGTCAGTTTGACTCCGATGAACAGAACCACTAGAGGAAAAGAAAAATAACTGGTAGGGGTCTGGAGGCTAAGGCATATGTGTTAAGCACCTACTATGCGCAAGGTGTTTTTCATCCATTATCACACTTCATTTTCACAGCAACCTTGTAAGGGAAGCATTTTCCCCCTTGACAGAATCCAAGGAGAGAAATGATCTACTTAGGATCAGGTCACACAAGTAGTTGGGGATGGAGTTAGGACTTGAAGCCAGATGTGCCTGGCTTCAAAGGTAGCTCAGCCCCTAACTACAACGCCTGACAGTGCAGGGAAAAGGTTGAACTAGCTGGAGCAGGGACAGGAGCAAGAGGGTGGGGTCTGTGGCATGTGGCATTTCTGTTACTACAATCTATTAGTTACGGCTTTTGCCCGGTGAATTTCAAACATTCACAAAACAAATTAAGACCTTCTTTAGAACTGTACCACAGAGTGAAGAGGGAAAAGGAATTACTTGCCTTTATTTAAATAATCAGAAAAGTAAGAGTGAGTGCTTTGTAAGAGGGGGTTTCTGGGTTAGAACTTCAGTCCTTTGACACTAAATACATTTAGTGAAATCGTCACTGGGTTAATTTTGGGCTAAATTATTCATAACTAAATTTACCAGTCAATTCAGTGAGAGAAAGCGAATTCAAATGCTGAAGTATTTGTCTGATATCACAGAAAGACTAACTTTAAAAAATGCATTAGTTAAGGCACACAAAAAGATACATATATATAACATGGGATACTTGAGTATCCAGCACTCAGTTGAATAAGTGACACGTTGCCAGGAGTTAAGTCCCCTGTGTGTATCCCTTCCCAACTGGCCTTACCTCCCTTCCCTCCTGGTCACAGTTATCTTGAATCTGACCTGGGGAAGCATTCAGGGAGTGTCTACTGCCATGAAACCAAACTGAAGGAGGAGGGGTGGCAAGGCAGCCAGGACCAAGATGAACAAGTGAAGAAGCCACTGGCAATGCTGCTGACCCCAGTGCTCAAAGGCTCTGGATTTGGCATTTCAACTACCCAAGTGACTCCAAAGGTCCATGGCATGTAGTCACTTGTCATTTGCCGAAACAAGACCCGGATCCCGGAAGCCTGTGTGCCACTGGGCTCGATTGCAGGGTAGGAGCAGTCCGTGAGATCTCAGCCCGACATCTGCAGCTCAATATCACCTCCCACATGTGGAACATTTCTTAAAGTCACTAGAATGATTTTTTCCCTGTGAAAAATGGCTCCCAAAAGGAAACCAACTGATAGTGCTGATGATAAGTGAAGAAAATATGGCTTCTCTTGACCAGAATATAGATGGTTTATAGAAGACAACATATGTTACAGTGATCTGTGATTTTAGTGTTCACAAAGGTGTCTAAAATGTGTCTGGTGAATATCAAAGGTCTACCTATTCACATTCTTCAAAAGACAAAATAAAATTCCCTTAATGAGGCTAGCAATCTCTGGAACTCACCCAGACCCATACCACTTCCTTTCCAACACACAATCCCATAATGCCCCCTTTCAGAAAGCACTAGGTAAATCCTGTCATAAAGTCAGATAAACTATGGAAGAAATCACTGTAGATGGAGCTTAGCGGAGAAGAGAGGCAGACAGAAAATTCTGAAAGAATTTAGACATTGAAATTCAGGAAGTATTCAGGTATTCTACTAATGGGTAGAAAGTTCTAAGTAATCCAGAAGTTAAGGGCGCCATAGAAAGTGGTGAATGGCAAGGGCACTGGGATCATGACCTTGTGGTTTACTCACAGAACGGTTATGATCCTAGATTGTTCATGCTGGGCACAAATCTTCTTCATCAAATTGACACTCTCCATTGTCTGGAATTTCTCAGCATTAATAAAGAACACAGGGCCCCGGGCCTTGGAGTAAAAGTCACGTTCAAGAGGAAACATCCAAGCATCCAGAGCCACCGCACACCTGGAATAGGACCAGACATCTGGAATTGCCATGCGGAATCTCAGGCAAGAATAGTTAGGGTGGTGGGGGGAAGGGTGGAGTTCCTCCCTTTGTTGGGTAAAGGCTCAGAAAGCCAGGAAGGGGGTACCAGGGCCCACAGCCTTCAGTTAGGATCTTATATAGGAATCACTTTCACTTTTCGCCCAAGATCCTTCTAGATTTCAAACCCTCTGAAGGCAAGGATCAGATCTCCTTCTTCTCCTGGATCTACTCTCGGGTGACTGACCTGAGTTCCACAGAATGGCACTTCACTCATTTAATTATTCATTCATTCAACATTAATTGAGTGCCTACTATGTGCTTTGGATACAGACATAAGTGAGGGTTATTGCTCTCAAAGAGCTCCCAGTCCAGCAGGGAAGACAGAACAGACAACGTGACAAAACAATATAGCTTAGGGCCCTGATTGCACAAGGTGCTATGTGAGGTTAGGAAAAGCCTCCTTGGTGCCAACAGTAAAATCATGTCACCAAGGGCAATATTATGGCATTAAGATTTAGCCATTTCCCTCCTCGGACCCCTAAAATGCTCCTCCATTCCTCTCCATCTCAATAGGGGACAATCGTCTTCCACTCACATTATCAATAGATACACAAATGAAAAACCTTGGTTTGGTCATGGTGGCTCATCCCTATAATCCCAGCACTTGGGGAGGCTGAGGCAGGAGGATCACTTGAGCCCAGGAGTTCAAGACCAGCCTGGGCAACATAGTAAGACATTATCTCTAACAAAAAAAAAAAACATTTTTTTTTTTTTTAATTAGCAGGCTGTGGTAGCATGTACCTGTAGTTCCTGTAGCTATTTGAAAGGTTGAGGTAGGAGGATCACGTGAGCCCAGGAGGTTGAGGCTGCAGTGAGCTGATTGCACCACTGCACTCTAGCATGGGCAAGAGTAAGATCTCTGTTGTTCCTTTTTTTTGGCTTCTTT